TGATAAAGCTCGACTTGCATAAACACGTCAAAAGAATTTTCAAGAAGAAAGTAATTATTTAATAGGAAACAACAAATTGAGTAAGTGATTCTTTTCACTTGTGGAATATTTAGGGGAAGAAAAACAAAATCTCAAAAAACTATCACTGTTATTACATGTGAAAAATTGGTAATTAGCCTAAAAAGGAACAACAAACAAAATCACAAACAGTTGGACAAATTTGTAACAAAAAAATTCTAAGGATTTCAAGGGACTAACCGAATTAAGAAAAGAAGTCTAACAAAAAGAAAAAACATAAAATAAATGTAGAAAAGGTAGTTCTACGATTGAAGCATTTCCTGGCCATAAAAGCTTTCGGGGTTGGAACCTTTCTTTGGTATTACAAAAGTGAGTTCGTAATGGGTTAAAAATAGACTGAAGTCCATATTTACCCAACTGAAATATAAGTGATATACTGATTAAAATGTGTTGACTGAAATTGCCAGTTCTATGGTGGAGCACAGTGGTGATGGGAAACAGTGGTACATAGGGAAAGGGGTTAAGTCAATGGTTGAAAGCTAAAACTGCAAGGCAGGCTGGGTAAGGTGCAATGCAAATGCCTTTTTAGGACTCATTTTTCTAGTAAATTGATAAAATAAATGATTTGTTAGGAAACAAAATAAATGATTTTAAATTGGGAAAAAGGAGGAACATCTCAAAACATCATATATAAAGGGGAAACATCACCAGTAGAAAGCAGAGAATAAATAGATAACACATCTCAGCACCAGCTATTGGTGTTGCCAATGCAGCAGCTACAGTTGAAAGAGAGATAAGATGGAGGGGAAACAGATAAAGGCTGGGAACAACAACATACCCAGTGTAGTTCCACAAGTGGGGTCTAGGGAGGGTGGTGTGTATACAGCATGGGGTGCGCACCAGCACATGATTTTCATCTTGAAAATAGAATATTTTGTGACTTGTGCTTACAATTCTTTTTGATGGTGAAGAAGCTTACATCATCCTTTTTCTGGGATGATTGTTTAGTGTTATGCAGAGAAGCAAGCACTAGGAGTTGTAGACCAAGAGCTCCTCGACACTCAGGTGAACCCTGCTGTGTGGGAAATTAGTGGACATATAGTGCTCAAGCGAACAAAGGATTACAATGATGCATCAGAGGAATATGCATGGAAACTTCTTTCTGAGGTTTCCTTATCGGAGGAGAGATTTGAAGAAGTAAAGGGCTATATTTCTGAAGCAGATGGTTTACAAGCAGAGGAGGATAAAAACATCAATCCAGAGAAGGAAATTCCAGATTCTCCTGGTCCGCAAGTTGCCTCACATATGCCTCCAGATTGTTTGGTGTTGCAGTGAAGAATTTGTGGCTTGCTATTGCAAGATCTAATAAAAGTTTGAAGTATCTATTGTGTGGTTGAAATTTTGTGTGTTGTTTTTCCAGCGTCTTGTTTGATGCATACTGTTGTCTTAGTTGGAGTTGGTGATCCCCAAATAGTGTCACTTAATGGCTGCAAGCTGTGGTCTTTGGCAGGATTGTTTACAGTACCTTTTTTGTTGGTGTTTAACTGCTGAATCATATTAGCAAATGTTCCTAATAATAACACCAGTGTAGGACTTGCCCAGTTCTTGCAAGTTTTGTGCAGGTGAGACTCCTCCTTGCTTTTGACATGGTAACAATCCTTCAGCCTCCCGGGGATGTATTCTCTTCCACGAATGTCTCAACTTGTCGATAACTCAAATATAATTTCCCTTACAGAAACGTTATGCTCTATTGTTTCATATGGGAATGGAACAAGAAATTCAAGGTTGTGCTAATCACTTCACGTATAGTAAAAACCGTTTTAATTAAAAATGGCTGATTCATATTACAGACCGAATCGAACTGATCATTCTACTTATAGATGTCTGAAAATATTGCTAGAAAGTTTTTTCTTCTTTCAACCGAGAATGTCAATTTACGAAACAATACTTGACAGGCTGAAGTAAGTTGAAAGTTTAAAGGAGAATAACTATGGGTGTGTTCAATACAAAGGAATATATTTTTTAGAAATGTTTTTCAATTTTTTCATGTTTAGTTGGTCAAAAGATTTTGGAAAACATTTTTCCTAGGATAATAAATTCCTTAAAAATGAAGGGGAAAAAATGTTTTTTCCCAATGTATATAGGGAAAATAAGTTATATAAAGTGACATTTCAAGTTCATTATCTCCTTCCCACCCACATAGTAGTTAACTATCCTACACACACCGACCCCATAGTTGTTAATTAGATTACATATAAATGCTTTTGGAATTTTTTATTTTATTTTTGCTTAGTTATCAAACACTAGATCAAATAAAATGTATTTTCCTGCCTATCCAGCTACCAAGTAGTTCATTCGTTTTCATTAATCTAAATGATCTCGTAAACATTCTACAATTCAACCTTCCTAAGAATTCAAAAACATTATGAAATGGTTTTCTTTTTTCAATACAGTACTGATATGCTAAGAAATAAGTTTTATTGCATATTAATCTTGAGTAAAAAATAGCGAGCACATTTGATTGGAGATATATTAAAAATAAATAAATTAAATAGTAAATGCTGTTTTATTTTAGCAATTACAGAAAAATGAAGTGTATGTGATCACATTTTGAAGTTCAACAAAGATCGCAAGGTCATGTTCTAAGTTCTAACGGAAAATCTAGCTATCTATGGTAATTGGTATCATGCATAAAGAACTATTATAATATATTATGTCTCATTTCCTTATTTATATGGTTGTTTTCATCACTACCCTTATGCTGAGAATAAGAAAAAACATAGCTAGTCTTAGAAGACACAGTTATTCATTACCTGCGCTAGTGGAAGGTAGCAGAATGACAGTGAAGGAGGTGCGAAATTGCATACACTCTTATAATACCTAACATCTAACCTTTGTATGCCACATAATTTTCCGACTAAGGGTGTGTATCAGACCACCCTCCACCCCATGAAAATATCCCATAAAATTAATCAAGATGCGTGCAAGCTAATCCGGACACCATAGAACCACTGGTCCGGTCCCTTTACAGGGTTAATTTTTCTTTTGTTTCCCTTTTAGTAAGTTAAAAACTTTTGAGAAGAAACAAATGTCTAACGGAACATGTCAACAAGCTCACAAAATAAATAAATACAACAAGGCAACATTAGTAACAAAGCACCTAACAGTTTCCATTCTTTTTTCATTATTCCAGCTCCATTTTTTGTTGGATGCATCTGGAATTCGAAACTCACTAACATGACTAATCCAGATTCATGTTCAGGTAGGCCTACGGAGGAAGTAGAGAGCTTCCTACCAAGAAGTTAGCAATTTGAACTCAAACCCGGTTGTTTAAGGGTGAAAGGACCCCAACCATCTCTCAACTCTCACCACACTTCTTGGAGTCTTAGTGGTATGCCAGCTCCATTCATCCTGCCAAGTAAAGTACTAACTCCCATGCATCTCTTCTCATCCTTCCCATCTAAAATGATCAGCCTTTTACTAAAAAGGTCATTCAGCTGCTATACTTTTCTGTTGCATTCTAGTCTTCCCTCTCTAAATAATCCCTCCCAGCTCAGATACAGAATCAAACAACAAAATATAAATAAGCTTCAAAATATAGAAAAGACACAGTATGACACAAAATATCTGAAAATTCAACCCAACAAAATTAAGCTATTTTTCATGTTTTCTTGTGCTCTCCCCATCACCTAAGATTTTGTATAGAAGACACTTGAAAAAATTTGAGTAAGGATGAGAACAATCGACTTATACTAATTCATGATCTTTTTTAGAGAAAGACAAGTTCAGCTTATTGCTACCTTCCGTGTCAATACTATCCCAAACCCAAAGATCACATCAAAGGTCAAGCCGCTGAGAAACTCGTTAATGTTTAACTTCCAACTTTATGCGCTAGATCAAGAGCTTACTTTGTTAATGGATTCCCAATCAAAAGATTTTATATATCTAAAGGATTTCTCAATATTGGGCTCTCAAAAACTAGCATCCGATACCCATCTGCCCTGCCTGCTTATTCGGATTCATAAGGTAACAATTTCACCACTCAATGCAGGTTGAGTGGTGAAATTTATGTGGCGCAACTTAATTGAATCGGATTCTAATCAAAACATTTTCATGTTTTCACACATAAACTAAATATACAAAAATAATAAAAGAACAATAAAAAAGAGGTACCTAATCTTTTCGTCGAAACGGATTAAGAAAATGACAGAAAAGTGTAAAAACAGGTGGAAGTAGTATTAAATGCCAAACGCCTTTAATAAATGAAAAACGGCGTTTCGGAGAAAAAAAAATAAAATGATCAAATCTGATAAGTTTTTGAATACTTAAAGGACTAAAATCGGTAAGTTTGTAGTTAAAGGACTAAAATCGATAAGTGTATAGTTAAGCGACCAAAAATTATAAGTTTTTGAATAGTTAAAGGACTAAATTCGTTAAGTGTATAGTTAAGGGATCATTTTAGACCTATTTCTATAGTTAAGAAACTATTTATGTCATTTTCTTTAGTATTAAATTCCAAATGCCTTTAATAAATGAAAAACGGCGTTTCGGAGAAAAAAAAATAAAATGATCAAATCTGATAAGTTTTTGAATACTTAAAGGACTAAAATCGGTAAGTTTGTAGTTAAAGGACTAAATTCGTTAAGTGTATAGTTAAGGGATCATTTTAGACCTATTTCTATAGTTAAGAAACTATTTATGTCATTTTCTTTAGTATTAAATTCCAAATGCCTTTAATAAATGAAAAACAGTGTTTCGGAGGAAAAAAATAAATAAAAACTGACATAGGCGGAGTACATATTTACCACTAGCAACAAGAAAGCTACAAGCGCGTTGCCCCATTTACACGATTACAATTCCGTGTGGTCTTGGCACTATCAGCAACTTTGAAAATTCATACGCCACAAATTTCTTCAACAACACTCCAAAGTATCAAAAAAGCAAATAAAAATAGTAGATGAAATGGCAGTGACAGAGATGGATTGCGCGTTACTCAATAGTAAATGTCACAAAACACAATAGGAAGTACGAAATTTCATTTTTGCAAAATATTATTCTTACCTTTTTGGAATTATCGTTCGAAATTGTTCTGATAACCCAAATCATATAGGAGTAATAGTAAAGTTTTTTGCTGATTCGGAATTTCTTCATACCTAACTACAGTTAGAGTGGATTGACAGCAAAAACTATGGCAGAAATCTGTCAAACAGGAGAAACAGAGACAGAAAGAATATCTACAGAGTTCCGAAATCGGTTCCAATTAAAACCTACCGTTGATTCCATAAGTTAATAATCTGAAAAGTCAGGTCCTACTCATCATCTTCTTAAACTCCTCAAAGTTAACACATCCATCGCCGTCGACATCCACCTTGCTGATCATACGACGGCAATCCTTGAGCGAGCACTTTTCTCCGAGGCTCTTCATAACAGAATGCAATTCAGCCGCCGTGATTTTGCCGTTTTTGTCCTTATCGTACAAGTCGAAAGCCTCCCGAAGCTCTTTGTTATCACTGTCCGCTCCTCCCGGACAGTAAAAAGCAGCAAACTCTTTCAAGTCAATGAAACCATCACCATCAGTATCAACTTCCAACATTATTCGCTTTACCTCATCCGGCGATGTCTTACTGCCAAGTGCATTCAGAATCGCGCCAAGCTCCGATAGAGAGATTTTTCCGTCTCCATTGGCGTCGAACTTCCGGAACACCTTCTCGACTTCGTCCATCTCCGCAGATGAAACTATCGGCTGTTTGGAGTCGCTGGGAGTTTTGTCCATTTGCGGAGACAGTATGGAAGGGAAAAGATGAGGAAACGGAAGGGGAGGCAAGGGATTTTTTCCAGTTGGGGGTTGATTGCTGGGTATTTATATGGCAGGATCACGCGGTTTCAGTGGGATATAATTGTCTGTTACGCGTGATTTCGCGTGAAGCCACAGTTTTATTTGGTGAGGCAGGATCCAGTACGAACGCTCCGATGGGTCACAATAATAAATGTGGACTTTCAAATTATGGTAAAAATAATATCTTTCTTTAATTCAATTTCAATATCTTAATTTGAAATGTTCATAAATTGGATTAGAACAAATATTTAATGCATATAAGTTTTGTTTTAAAACGAACCTACTCAAAGCAATATCTAATAAATAACAATTAAAATTTCTATTTATTTATTTATGTCGGAAAGTTTTTATCCATGTAGAATGCTTACATGAAAAGGAGACTATACTTATGAAATCTCTAGATATATATATGAAAATTTCTAGATTCTTATGAAATTTCTAGAAAAGTACTTGAAAGTTGAAACCCTGCAAACTTATAGAGAATTCTAGAGAAGATTTATCTATAAATATTTTTAAAAAATTATGTAAGTAATTAATATATACATACTAGCCCCTAGATGGCTTATATTATAAATAGGAAACCATCTAGCAAACAATAAGTTTCCGTTAATATAGAGCCTTCTTTGACAATTTTTGTGTTTTTTCTTTTTATCATTTTTTTTTTTTTGATTTCGAGTATCTTATATGCTGATTTGACATAACAAGATTGTAAGCAATTTGTGCAAAAGCATGAGCGAGTTGTCAAAATGATTAAGGATGTGATGTATATGTGGCTCAAAACTATACTTAATTAGAAACTTAAAATTAACTATATGAATCTTTTGTAATCAATCTATTTTAGTAATGTCATATCCTGTCAAATTAAATAGACTAATTAGTATTTAATTAGTTGAAGGGAAAAACGTAAATTAGATGTTAAATAGGAGATTCATGAATTGCTATTACACCCTTCAATTTAATTAACCTTTATACAAGTAGTTATCAAAATAAGTTATCTCTTCCTTTATTAACTATGTAAAAAGTAAATAAACTCCAAAGCTTTAAAAAGTCTGTCACAGACGAGAATATATATAAATCAATCGTGCCATTTGTCTCGAGACTGTTTTACGTTTTTTTTTAAGGCTGTCTTACGCATGTGTAATATACAATTGTAAAAGTCTACTAGTAATAAAATTTCTCCCCGTTTAGCGAATAAGCAATTGACACGATTAGGGTGTAGAAAAATGGACCAACACTGGATAGCATCCCCATTTGTTTAGCGAGAGAGAGTTAAGGGTCTTTTTTTTAATTAAATAGAAGTCTTAAAGCAAAGGAAAAGTGTAAGTTATGAATTCATATATATATTTACGATCTAGTTTTGTGATTTCTTGAGTATGATTTTATTATCTCTAATTAAAGATATTTTATTTGATAAGTTATGTTGGGATAGTGTCTGAATTAATCGAGCCACTGAATTTTACAAAAAAAAAAAAACGTAGTTAAATAGAAAAAGGGAGTATATTTCGATCAATGGCTAATAAGCATAAGGTGAGAAAGTAGCATAAATTGATCCAGATATAACCATTATAAAATTAAAATATAAGGTGAGGTAAAATCTATGTAAATGATATTAAAACACTTAAAAATATGATTAAGTAGTTACTGAAATATGAGAATCACAATATCCAAGATTAAATTTTCAAAAATAAAAATAAAATGAAGGTAATTGTCACGAATGATTAAAGATTTAGGCAGTTAGGAAAGCATCTAATAGTAAATGCTTGAAAGAGGACAGGTACCAGTCGGACTTTGGGCGTGTATATTTTGGAAAATAAAAAAGCGTTGTTAGTGACATTTTGCATTGATTGTTTTTCTCAACTTTCAACATATCTCATTTTTACGCCTTTACTCTCACCACCTTATAGCCCTTATCTTCACCATGTCATACCCCTACCTCATCCTCCCCACCCCTATAGTATTTGTCTAAAATAAAATACAATTTTTTTTAGAATAATATTTTTAAAAATAACTAAGAAACCCTCTTATTTTTCTAAAAAATATTTTTCAAGGAAAAAGTTGGGTTTTTACTCTTTTTTTGTGTTCGTTATGTATGTGAGGGAAAAATATCATTCTAAAAGCATTTGTGTATAATATATACAAACAGCAAGTATGGGAGATGATGATGGTTGTAGAGGTGTGGGGTGATGGGGATGGGATTAGACGCTAGAGGGGTGAGGGTGAAGACGAGGTAGGGAGGACACAATCAACATGTAATGCCATATGTAAAACTCGTTTTCTATATTTTTATGAGAGAATTCATTTTCAAAAAACTTGTATCTCAAAAAATATTTTCCAAAACTTTTATCCAATCGAACATAACACAAAACTCACCCAGTGTCATCTTATTAATTAATGGGCACATGATGACGATCTTGACAACGAAGGATTCTTATCTTTCACTTAACGTTAGCAAATTCGGTATTCAGTTTCAGTTTATCCGATTATATAATGCAAGTCAACCTGGATTAATTATAATATCACATAACTGTTCTGATTACATCAAAGTCAAGTTGAATTTATAAAATCTTCCGTCGAATAATTGACACCATCAAAACGCGTTTGTATTATATAATTCAGTTTCTTGTTTCAGTCCGGTATTTAACTTCCTTTTTCTGTTAACTACTTATTATAATTATGGAATTAATGGGATGTATTACAAAATGACATGACATGACATTTTATAAGTTTTTCATTTTGTTTTAAAGTGAAGACTAAATTAAGAGGATTTTTTTCTCCTACTCAAGCCTAACTACTTCGTATATATAGCAAGGGTTCTTGAATCAGTGAAGTAGGTACCTATTACTTTCCATTAGATGTAGGTAACTCTATTCCATATAATATATGTGGTGCTAAAAAGTACCACGTACGTATTGTGTTTGCATTTCCACACTACTCCTTTTATTCCCATAAAAAAGATCTTTGAGATGCTAATCCACACTTAGTACAATTTCATTTATTATTTATGTAATGTAAAATATTTGTGAAAAGGAAATGAACTTTCGGCCAAATAAAATCCAAAAAATAGGTCATAAGGTAAGAATTGACTAAAATCACATAAGAAAATCAACATGTCGATTCTAAGCTCTCAATACCGATGACTGAAATATGAAATGTGGACAAGAACAATACGACACCCAAAAACGTATTAATCAAGAATAAGAATTGAGATGAATCTATCTCTAAAGATATAATTAAAAAAAAATCTTGAATCTCACTCAATCTAAGAAATTAACCAATAAGGTTAGAATTATCCAAAATTATATCAGGAGATCGAATATTCATCAATAATCAATGTAAAATCTAACGAATAATTGTCAAAATGATTTTTCAATAGCATGAATTATTTAGGCTTAACATGCTAACTAGAGTTGTCAAAAAGGGTCAGCACAGCCCTCCCGATCCAAACCTCGCGGGCCAAAGAATTTGATGGGCTAGGGCGCGCTGACCCTTCTTTTGGAAAGGCTTGGAAGTACTCAACCCAACCCAACCCTAGAAGGGTTGCGGAATGGGAGCCCCCATTTTTTTTCAAACTTAAAATTCTATAACATCAAGAAAATGAGAGGATTTTCAAATCAAATATGGCAAATAATGGTGTTTTTTCAATAACACTAGCAAAAATCTAGGTGATTAACATGTATCTAGGATACCAGATACGCGAGATACATGTATTTGGTGTGTGATGCATCCAGATACTCGAGTGACATAAGAGTGGCGAGTGAGATGGGAGGGAGGCGAGGGCGTGAGATTTGTCTATATATCCTAGATACATGTGAATCCATTTGGAAAGAGTGTGTCTACAAAAAATTACACCTAATTTTGAATCCATGTATCTGAACGCATCAAAATTTGGTAAGATTCGTAATATAAAATATAGCGTGCCTCTAACTAATTAGCTCATACACTAGTAAAAATTTTGTTAGTTACCCTTAGTTTTGGCCCATGGACCCCAACCCGACCTTGATCAAGCCTCATCAAAGGCTTATATGTTTCGAACTTATAAGTCCTAATTTTAAATGGGTTTGAAAAATCTTATCTCAATTCTATCCTAATGACGGATTGAATTGGGCCGACCCCATGAACTAAGCTCATATTGACGACTCTAATGCTAACTAATAGGCTTACCTCATTAGGATAGGATTAGTATGTTTACACCAAATCGTGTTAAATAATTTAGTGGAGTGAATATGTACATTAAGTGGCCATATAAAATTAAATAATATTATTTTGATTTGATGTAACCAACAGATATTATATTATTCATTTATTCCAGTTGAATGCACCACTGAATAATTTGACTCAAAATTCTATCAGCGGTGGATTCCTTCAAAATTATGAATGAAGCTAAGGAAGTATTCGATTTGCTTAAGCGTAAATATAATTGACTGGTATTTGAAATTCTATCATGTCCGGTAGTTGGCATCTACTTTTGGCGGTGCTTAACCTGTTGTAGTCATTGGTCCAGATGTCCCATAAATGGGTATCAACTAAATTCAAACTTTATTGTGTTGCTTATGCTTCATCAAATAATTCATCACTTCTATATTTCTCATCTGATTCATTGCATACATTTTCATAGCATCAAGTTGGACATAGTACATAAAAAGTGTGGTGGAGAATGTGTACTTGTTTTTGGCATCGATCTTGTGCCATAACTCTCGTTGGGCTCAGGGGCGGAGCTATGACATGGCGAGGGTGGTCAGATGAACAACCTTCGTCGGAAATTTTTTACGGGTATATATACTAAATATCGAGTTTTTTGGATATATACTAACTGTTGAACAACCTTGACACAATAAAGGTTGACAGGCCAGCGGTTAATGTTGTGCAAAGATGCCTCAGCGTTCCGGGTTCGAGCCCAAGTGTTGGCGTTTTCTTTAAATTTTTTCATTATTCCGTTTGTTCTCTTAGAAAAGGCAAAACTCAGCCTGGGTTCGATCCCAGGCTTGAACATTTCATTTATTTAATATTTGTTCCGTTTTTCTCTTAAGAAAAAGTACAAAAGTTACCTTTTTTAAGTTAAGAAAAACAAAAGGAAACAAAAGGTCTATTTAAATGGTTGCATAGTGTCTTATGTAGAGAAAAAAGTATTTAAAGATGTTTCTAATGAGTGTATTATGAAAACATTTCAAGAGATGAAGTGTCGTCGAGTGCAATTGTAGTTACCACTTTACAATTTACATATTTTGGTGTGTATGAAATTATCCGTCAATATATTTATCCTACTTCATCTTCCTTAGTTTATCCATTTGATATTTTGTAAGTTTCTGTTTTTAAGAATTTTTCATTTTGGATATTTGGTTAATTTGATATTGAGGTATAACTATTTTGAAGCCAATCTTTATAATCTGACTAGCAAGATTTATTTTTTTACTTGTCCTAAAGTATGAACACCCTTGGCGAAAATCCTGGCTCCGCCACTGATTGGGCTGTTGATTTTATAATGAGCTTGATAAATTAAAGAAATTTCAAACTATCATATTCACAAAGAGAAATTGGCGTTGGTGATCTTATTGTAAGAAATATAAAATTCCAAATGTCAAACCTTAAATCTTCTATTGAAACAAAACTTCACCCGCTAATTAGAGGTAGCAATATAAGATTTTGTTCATGTTAATATGTTTGCTATCCATGATCGAATATTTATGATCATCAAAATTTAAATATAACTTCTTCTTATGTATGCGTATTTCCAAGCTATTTTTGACATGATAAAAATAGTAAATCAAACCTTACATTATCACTCTGTCATCTTCATTGTTCGTCTCATTGAAACATTAATAGTCTAATAATATCATATATTGAGCTAAACTAATTTAGAGAAGCTCTTAACATATTTATATACATAATAACGTCTAATGTTAGATTAGTTGATTTTATGTACCCAAATAAATTTATGTTCCGTCGTTATTAGTTTGAACCAAATCATGATTGGCATGAAATAAATCCATATATCTCTAAATAATAAGCTAGTGGGTAAATCATGATTTTTGTCTGACAAGTGATAGAGATAACTAGAGGTCGTCGTCGGCTAGTCTTTGGGTCATCCAACAAAACACACTTGGCCAGCTTGTATTTTAGCCAATTTCCATTCATTGCTTTCTCCGCTGCTACTATTTCCCCGATCAGAAGAATCAAAATTAGGGTTTATTGCCTGAAAATTACTAGTGCCCCAACGCCTTCTCCTACTTTCCCTTTTAGTTGCTGAAATTTAACGCCTGATGTAACTGTATTTTAGGTTTCAATTTTGAAATACGAGTTAATTTCTCAGATCAGTTCTTCTATTTAAAAACCTCATAAATGGCTCTTCATGTTACTGCTTTCTCCTTCACTGGAGTTTCTACTTCAAGTAAAGCTTCCAGAAGCTCTTTGCTTTCAGTTTTTCCTGCTCCTAGAAGATGCACTGTCAAAGCTGCTTCCCAGTATCCGCCCAGCATTCCTCGATGTAAAATTCAAGGTGTTCATCTTTTAAATTTAGTCTACTTTCAGATTGGATTTATCATTTATATGTGTTTGTAGAAAATTTAGTTAGTTTGCTTTATGACTTTTTGTATTTATACTTTCTTCTTTAACTATATTTACTTAAGGAAGAGCATTGCCAAGTGACAATGGGCCACTGGAGAAGGATGAATCTTCTCTTGTTGTGTGCTTTGGAGAAATGCTTATTGATTTTGTTCCGACTATAAGTGGGCTTTCATTGGCTGAAGCCCCTGCATTTAAAAAGGCTCCTGGTGGTGCACCAGCTAATGTTGCTGTTGGAATTTCCCGTCTTGGTGGTTCATCAGCTTTCATTGGCAAGGTATAATATTGCAAAACTACATTTTTTACCTTCTTTATGAACTCGATGTGCTAAACGTAGGTTTGAATGACTGTATAACAGTAGATAAGTTTATTCAAGTTCAACAAGTGTTTAGACAGTTAGCTTTTCAGTCAAGTACATGTATGATCTTCAAGTTGGGCTACTAATCCTTGACTATTAGGACCAATTCCAGGCTGTAGGAGGAGGCAACTCTTTGTTGTTGTTTAGTTCCCTCTATTCAAAACATATGGCAGTATCTGGTTACTGAAATAACTTTAGAAGCTGCAAGACGATTCACTTCGTTGGAACTATCAATCTTTAATGCATGGTTGAAATTTTGTTATTATCTGAACAGAAATCTGACACTTGCTGTGGAAACATTAATTGCTCCAAAGTATCCCTTGTATCATGGTGATCTGGCATCTAATGTTATGCGCTTGTCAAATACCTATTTCTTTGGCATACTAATTACTATACTGATATCATATATCTTAGTCTAAAGCATTAATGAAGAACAGTTTTGCTCTCATTTGAGACTCACTACTCCAAACTACTGCATTCAAATTAGGAGACTCGTCTTAATATGCAGCAGGGTCATCTTTGTTCTGCCCTGGAGGTTTTTGATAATTTGATTGATTGTTGAAGAATCATATTCCGCACAAAGTTGACTCGTTCAAATATTCCTTTGCTGGGTTATGAAAATTAATTAGAAAATATATGTGAATGAAAATAACATATCAAAAAGAATACGTGAAGATGGGTCATCAAAACGAATATGTGAAGATATAAATTACAAAAACATAGGCCTTTTCAAATATTTAAGCATTTTATGATATGTACTTATAACTTGTAATCCAATCAGGTTGGTGAAGACGAATTTGGTTACATGCTTGCTGAGATTTTGAAGGAGAACAACGTCAACAGTGATGGTATGCGCTTTGATCCAGGTGCTCGTACTGCTTTAGCATTTGTAACACTGAGAAAGGATGGAGAACGTGAATTTATGTTCTATCGTAACCCGAGTGCTGATATGTTGCTTCAAGAGGATGAACTTGATTTAGAGTTGATCAGGAAGGTACATGAGGTTCTTTTATCCTCGAGATATAACTATTTCATAGTTTCATTATAGCAAAAGAATAAAGATGGACGAGAAGAGCAAAATATAGGATCATAATATGAAACTGAAATTGGTTATGGTTCTTACATGAGATACCTCCAGTCATAAGACCTTCTGTATTCATCCTCTTTGTTACTTCTGCTAAGAGTAAGTTATCTTTTTTATATGACTATTGAATATATTAAAAACTTTATGCAATTCATGATTTGGTTCTAAGAGTACCTTCCAATCCAAATCTTCAGATTTTTGAAGACCATCTTATTTGAGAATGTATGAGCATTTCGTATGCTTTCTGGACAGCATGTTATTCTAGTAGTCCGCCAAACTTTAACAATACTTCTATACAATGTTGTTTTCCTTATTGCAACAGTTTGATCATGATACTTTACATTTCTTCTGCTATTTTTGGTGTGGACTCTTACTAGTAAATTATAATTAGATAGTCAACTTGATAGTGATACCCAATGATTCCTATCCCTTGTGACAGGCAAAAGTTTTTCATTATGGTTCCATAAGTCTGATTACAGAGCCATGCAAATCAGCCCATATTGCAGCTGCAAAAGCTGCGAAGGATGCTGGTGTGATCTTATCCTATGATCCCAATTTGAGGCTTCCATTGTGGCCATCTGCAGAAAGTGCTAGAGAAGGAATCCTTAGCATATGGGATACTGCTGATATAATTAAGGTACTTTGTTGCAAGTGTCCAATGTAAAATCTTACTACTTGTTAGTGGAAATATAGTCTATCTTGCAAGAGAATCGGTCTGGAAAGTCTGAACTTTCATATGAAATGTTACCTATGATGTTTCAGCTGCTTGTTATCAACAGATAAGTGAAGAAGAGATTTCGTTTTTGACACAAGGAGAAGATCCTTATGATGATAATGTTGTTCGTAAGTTGTACCATCCAAACCTCAAGTTACTCCTCGTCACAGAAGGTCCAGAAGGTTGCCGATATTACACCAAGGTGAGCTTCTAAGATGTGGTAAAACTCAGCGTTATAAATATTATTCAACTCTGCTGCATGCCTGTTTGTTCTTCTAGTCAAATTGTAATTGCTACTGCATCCCACTCTACACAAATTGATGTCCTTAAGCAAATGATGTTGTAATTCTTTATCATGAAGTTGAGAAATCTCTGTATTTGTTCCTTATATCTTCAGATGTAAAATTCATCTGGTTGTTTCACAACTTTTTAAACTATTACAACATTTATTAAATATACAATCTGCTATTGGGTTATCGAGATTTGCACGCATGGATGCTGTGCCTTTTTAAACAGTCAATCCCTAGCTGAACAAGTATATGATTATCTATGTTAGAGTTGATTGGCAAGCTTTATTAATCTGGAATCAATAAAGCTGTTATACCTGTCAAAATATTACTGATAATAATCCCTTGCACTCTGAAGTTTATTTCAGAAGACTCCTTATTCTGTTTCCTTTTGTGAATCATGATCAGGAAACAGAATGACTACTGTTTCTTATATTTTCTTGTAAAGCTCATTAGAGGTTGTCTGAGTTTTATCGGTCTCCTTCAAGCTGGTTCAGATTCGTCCGCTTATTGGAATAAGTTTAGGAATATTAGAATTTAATGCATCTTTAGTTCAAACTTCTAAGATCAGTCACCAAGCTGGTGTGTGCATACCCAGATTTGCCAGATACCACTATATATGAAAGGTAAAGAGAAAAAGGTTCTCTGACGTTGCTTGAATCATGAAAAATAGGATTTCAGTGGACGAGTTAAGGGTATAAAGGTGGACGCCGTGGACACCACCGGTGCTGGAGATGCTTTTGTAGCCGGAATATTGTCACAGCTAGCATCTGATGTCTCGCTGCTTCAGGTATTGCCTTAATGCCTTTTGTATTAAATCGAATTATGTTCTGTAGTTTTAATGTTCCATTATCCTGCATTCTGTTGGCTACTACTTTACATTTCTCATTGTGTATATGGTTTCTCATGTCATGTTATCTAGTGAGCAACAAAAATTGATACTGTTTTTATTGTTTGTGCACTAGGTGTGTATCTTCAGTATAAGTACATTGAAGGACCTATATGATTTACTTGTGGTGTCGATATTTTACTGTGTCATTGAAACCTCTTATAGTTAATACCCTAGATAATTAAACTCACGTATGCAATCCAGTGATATAAGGCAGCTGAAAAATCACAATTTTAACAACCATCTTCTTTGATGAAGCTAAGAACACTACTAAGACTATGCCTCATCCTTGTTCTCTTGCTGTAGCTACTTCTGAAACAAAAACTGAAAGTGCTGAACTAAGTAATTTGAATTCTCAATGTAAGAATGAAAAGTCTCATATCGGTGGTTAATGAGATGAGTGGTATACTTATATGGACTTGAGCAATCCTCCCCTCATGAGCTAGCGTTTGGGGTTGAGTTAAGCCCAAGATCCATTTCCCCTTACACTCAAACTTAAACCTGTCTTTCCATTTGGTGTTGAACTTTCTTTTATACTTCAACTCAAAACACAGATCTCTTTTATGCTAATTCTGAATCTGAATTCTTTAGGATGAGAGCAAGCTTCGAGATGCCCTTAGTTTTGCTAATGCTTGTGGTGCATTGACTGTGATGGAGAGAGGAGCAATTCCAGCTTTGCCAACAAGAGAAGTAGTGTTGAACGCCTTGCTCAAGTCAGTTGCATAATATCAACCGACCTATTAATCAGTTGTCATTTAAATGCACTTGCAAAAAGATCTCCATGTGTTCTCTTGCATAAATTCTTGTAGGGCAAAAGAATATTATAAGCACGTGTATAACCACATTAGCCAATAATCGAGAATAATTTCTGATAAATATGTGGTAGTTCATAACCCACATTATTAAGCACATGTATTTATTCAAGATCGATGTTGAATTCTTGTGGCTAATGCATTGGTTTGATTCAGTTACATTCACTCATTCTCAATTTGAAGTGTTTATGTTGACAGCGTTTGATTAGCAAATATGAAAAAAGAATCAATTTGGCTACCTCAATGCCACATTGTGTTTTTCATTTTTGAACATACCGAAATTATAAACACAAATTAAATACGTATCCCATAAAATTGTATCTAATATGTAGGGATAAGTTTCATATTTTTTCCTTTTCCCAACTGCACACAATTTTGGAAGGTGTCAAAATGTTGTCAATGTCTGTTTTGGGAGTCAACATTTATTTTCTTCCACAAAGTGTAAACAGATTAGTTGTTGCAAAATTTTGTCCAGACCATGAAACCTCAAGAAGTTTTTTCCACAAAGCCCGAGTCCTAAGGCTAAGGATGGCCAAACAAACTAATAAGAATACCTCTTTATAACCCAAATTCTAACTCATTTTGCGGATCTAATTAAGTTGCCAAAAACAAAAACTCAGACCAACTTTGCCTACATTATAACCATCAAAACAACAAAACAAAAAATAGGCAAAGAAGAAATCAAAGAATGGCTGAAGATCCACAAGACGTAGCCGATCGCGAACTAGTCTTCAAGCGTTTTGATTTAAATGGTGATGGGCAAATTTCTTCAGCAGAACTTGGAGAGACCTTGAAGATGCTAGGCTCTGTAACCTCTGAAGAAGTCCAGTATATGATGGCTGAACTTGACACTGATGGGGATGGTTTCATTTCTTTTGAAGAATTCGAAGAATTTGCTCGAGCCAATAGAGGTTTGATCAAGGATGTTGCTAAAGTATTCTAGCTTTCTTGATGCACAAACTTTACCATTAGAAACGGATTTAGGGTGGGTTTTGCAGGTTCAACTGAATCCATTGCTTTCAGCTCGAACTATGTATACGTATGCAAAATATATTTAAAATGTATACATATAATAAAATCATACTCATTCTGAAATCACTGACTCTAACATCTAATTTTGATATGTATTTCTTTCAAATTTGTCTTGAAATTTGAAAATTAAAACTTAGTTAAACTGCAACGTCTTATTCCCTACATTATTGTTGAGGTGGATTGTAGGTATAATATCTCTTTTTTTGGTTTATAAATTATTTGGTTGGTTCTAAGTTGTTTGGTTTAAATAAAATTTATAAATTTAGGCAACTAGGTTCAACAACATTGAACTACAAGTTTGTCTGCCTTGCATTATGAATAGATAAGTTCATTATTTGGGGTCCTATGTGAGAGAGTTTTAGCTGTCATTATATCATAATCAGTTATCTCAAATAATGTCAAGGTAACCTAATTTTTGTTTATTGGTGTACTAATTTCTGAACCTATCTTTTCTTAAATACCTAACCTGAAACAGATTGATTAACTTCAGCTTTGTTAATAAAGAAAGGGGTTAAACGTACCATCAATAGGAAAAAAAGGAAAGTGTTAAATGGCCAGAAAATAAAAAAACTATAATATTTTTTTTATTTTAAAATAAACTGATGTTTTTTCCATTTTTTAGTTAAAAGGTATTAAAGTTAAAAGGGTAAAAATATTTAAAAAGGTAAAATAACATAGATAAATATCATTCTGGCCAAAAAGATTTTTCCGGAAAAAAAAATGGCACTAATATGTTGTCAATTTCCTATAAATTTTTAAAATCCAAAAAGAGTTGTATTCAACAAGAAAGTTTATGAAAGTCCCCATACCTTTTAAACAAACAGAATTTACTATTAATTTGGTGCCCTACTGTATTTGTCATCAACTGCTCACATTAAATTAAAGTTGAGAAATATGGCAACAGTTAATTAGTTAGTTACAGGAGAGAAACATGGCAACGGTTATTAGTTACCCCAAACTTCTCGAAACAAATTCAAATTTAGTCAAGCTCCAATGGATATTAGACACTGGTTGAAAAACCGAAAAAAATCTTTAGCTTACATAAAGTAAGCTAAAACAGTGTCCTACACAGGTGGGGAGATAGGTTGAGGTAACTGTCACGATCACCACGGTTATCCAATAAAATAAAAAAGGGAAGAAAAAGAACTAAAGACGATGCATTTAGATAACCAGAGAAAGTTTGAACTTTGAACTTACAATATCAAGGAAAGAAGTAAGATCATGCCAGAAAACAATTCACAAACTTCTTTATGTTATCTCACAAAACAGAAACTATCATATTTCCCCACCAAAATCAGGGACAAATATATACAAACAGCCTATTCTTCAATCAGATCACCACTTTTCTATCTACATGTTAAAGAGCTTATCACTTGTCACCCTAGAATCTTAGAATGGAGTGAGAGGGAAAAGGAACAAGGAGAAAAAAAAATCAAATTAATCGTCTTTATCTTAACGACAATAAAAATCATCATCTTCAAAGTCAGGTACTCCTAACATTGCCAATGCTAAGTGACTATTCATTTCACTTTTTGTCCGCTGCAATTGTGGATCAATCACACAATTATTACTGGAAATAGACTTTTTTCTGGTCAAGGAACGAACTTCTGTGCCTCTCAATATGGCAATGATCTCATCCATGTTGGACCTTCGAGACTCTTCAGTGTGTATACATGCAGCTGCTGCTTGAGTCATCCGAGCTATTTGTTGTAGGTTCTTTTGAGGGAATTTGAGTCTTGGATCAAGAAACTTTTCAAGAGCTCCTTGCTGCAGCAGTGGTTTTGCCTGAAAAGAGCACAAGGATAAGCAAAAGGTCCCAATGTTGCCAAATTTTGAGGCAGAGAGGCCTTAAACAGTCAACCAACAAGGAACAAGATCCTATGTGGCAGTGACCATTTAGAACATAAAGATCTAAACATCAGCAAGGGTGAAGGCGACCATTTAAAACCAAATGGAAGGGATGAAATGCATTGGCCTGAATAGTTAACTCACACATCACTAGCTATGTCAAAAAAATTCTGAGTGGTGAAATTTATAATTATGCAGCAACTTTGGCAAAGGTTATGCCGGGGTAATACGTATGCTTGCATTAACAATTACCAATCGCAATAACTGATTTTAATTATCACAAATAAAGGAGATATGATCACAGCTTAGGCATAAATTATAGCAAGAACCTACCCACAACACTAAGTTCTCTTCTCCTGGTCCTCTTTTTGCTTCAATTGGCTTCCTTCCAGTGAGCAGCTCCAGGAGGACAACTCCAAAGGCATAAACATCGGTTTTATCCGACACTTTACCATGCTGAAAATATTCAGGAGCTAAATACCTGTATATGTAATTCAAAGATTGTAAATATAAGGATGTTCTTTATGGTCTAGCAACGGTTTTAATTCATAGCCATGCCTATAGAAGAGTTGTCAAGATAGAAAATATACCCAAATGTTCCTTTAACTGTTTTACAAAGGAAAGGTACAGAAGGTGCAGGAGTCCATGTAGCTAAACCAAAGTCACACAACTGCATATATCAAGGAAAGGATTAAAACACAGAATCTATCAAACAACAAACTGTTCACTAGCAGATATGCGTAAATAATGACAATAACCAATTTGAGCTGCTAAATATGAATGCTCCTTTCATTACCTTGGGCGTCTTTTTGGATGAGAGAAGAATGTTGGAGGGTTTGATGTCCCTGTGAACAACACACCTCTCAGTGCCATAATGCAAGTACCCGATTGAATCAGCAATGCCTACGGCCACCTTATACCGTGTAGACCATTGAAGTACTGGACCACCTTTCACTCCCCTCTTCTTCTTATCTGTGAATGAAATTCTATCTAAATTAGTCTCAATGAAATTGTGTAAACTAAAATAAAAATGACCTTATTAAGAGCAAAAGGAAACCAAGTATTCTCACCATGTAAATACCGCTCTAAACTTCCACCAGATACATACTTGTATACCAAAAAGAAACCCTCCTCTGGATCAATACAAAAACCAACCAGAGGAACAATGTATGGGTTATGAAGAGAACTAGCAATCATCAATTCCCTACAAAATGCCTTTGGAGACTCCTTGTCTTCCCTATCTAACCGCTTAATCGCAACAGTAGTTCTCATAAATCCAACTCTTCCTCTGAAAACATAGCTCAATGCTCCTCTTCCCAAAACTCTACCTAACAAATTCAAGAAAAGCAAATCAACATCACATGAATATCTCTTTCAACAACAACATATCCAATGTAATTCCACAAGTGGAGTCCGAGAAATACGCAAACCTTGCCCCGACCTTGGGAGGCAGAGAGGTTGTTTCCGATAGACCCTCATACACGAATTTCTCTTTCAAACAGGGGAAAGTGAAAAAAGTTAAGAAATTGAATACCTTTAGAAAAATTCCTAGTAGCAGAAGCAATCTCAGGATAGGTAAACCTAATTAAAGAATGAGTCACAGGAGAAATACTCCTCTCAAGTGATTGAATTTTCCTCCATTTTAGCTCTCTAGACAGGGGATCAGTTAACCCATTATCCAAATTCACCATCAAAACAGTAGCAGAAGAACATCTATTAACATTCATAGACTCAAGCTCAACCTGAGAACAAAAACTAAACCTAAAAGAGGAATGAACCGAATGTGGCTCCGCATTAATCAACTCAGTACCACATGCTCCTGACTCAGCAAGCAACCACGCCTTATTATGCTCCAAACTGCTAACACCTTTATCCTTCTCACCGTTATCCTCGCCGGAAGCTCGCCGGCGACGGGTCGGAACAAAACAAGCCAACCCAAAATCCCAAATCATTCTGTAAATTAAAGACTTGATTTTTAACTCTTCATTTCCACAATGGTTATCAGTATCAGTGACTAAAGCTTGAGTCTTTAAAGGGTATGAACTGTGAAGAGGCTCCACAGAGTTAGTAAAACTACTTGGAAGAAACCCCATTTAGAGAACGGATCTCGAAAACAACACAGAAACCCACAAACCCAAAAATCAAGAAATTCAAAGAATCAAGAAAAGTGAACAACTTTGCTTGTAGAGAAGGAAAGAGTTACTTTCAGTATATAGAAAAAAGAAAGAGAGCATTGGAGAATAAAGAATCAAATACTGTAATGAAAAAGTGTGGAAAAGTGTGAAGGGATTTTGATTATATGCTGGAAATGGAGACAGAGAGAAAGAGAAGGATGGTCCCTTGAACTACAAAAAGACTGACCAAGTTTAATTTTTGAATAGATGGAATCACTGGCATTATTTATAACAAGAATGAGAAAAATGTGAATTGAGATAATAAATGCAAGATTCTTGGTGTTGAGGCTTAACAAGTCAAGCAGAAACCACAAGAATGATGCTTGGAAGGGCCTTATTATTTATTGGGGATTTTTGGATAAGTTTTATGACAAATGTAGGAACAGATTTATTTGGTAGTTTAAGGGTAAGTTAAGGGTTAATATGGATTTGGAAATTGGAATATTAATTATAATGCAACAATTAAGTAGGAAAATGAGACCAACATAGATTGTGGTACACTGGAGGGAGTGTTTAACACTTAACTAGAGGTCTTGGATTCGAGCTTTTGGTTGAAGAAAATCTTGTTGGGAGCGATATCCCCGAATGGATCTTGTAATGCGCGATCCAAATTTAGTATTGGCTCCAATGTGAACTCCGGAGCGAAAATTATTTTTTTAGGAAAATGAGATAAAATGATGGGATGTATTAGTAGTAGTTTGGTGACCTTCTCATCCCCCAACTACCTTTCTTGACAGCAGAGCTGCCTCTCTTTTGTCATTCCACTTAACATACTTTTGGTGACACTTCAGTTGGCTTGGCTATGATAGCTGTGGAAATTGTATAGAATAATCATCCTGTCAAGAGATGATTATTTGCAAACTTATTGCTTCTTGGATCAAATGGACGTGTTAGGTTAAAATTGAAAATGTTAAAATGGGTTGAAATATAAATTGAATTGCGTCCTGACTTGCCAAAGTTTATCTTGGGTTCAAATGGGCTTAAAATGGG